AGCTCGGCCGTGCCACCAGTTACCGGTTACATCTAAGGGAAAAAGGTTACCAGGTAGCCGGTTACCCATTAACATTCCTAGTTCTGTGAAGACCTTAGGAAAAAGAGAAAGATGAGGACAAGTAAGGTCCTCTACTCAGTGGGGAAGGAAAGCCAACCACAGAAGACATCAAGAAACCTAGAGTGTTTAATGCCTATTTTGCTTTGGTCTTCACTAAAAAGTGAAATGGTAACTAGATACTCCATGCAATTAACATTAACAACAAGGGGAAAGGAATGCAAACCAATATATGGACAGCATAGTTTAAAGATTATTTAGATAAATTGGATTTACTCAAGTCAGCAGGGCCTGATGAAATTCACCCTAATATACCTAGTATTAAGGAGCTAGCTAAAACAATCTTGGAACCTCTAGCAATTATCTTCGAGAACTCATGGAGGACACGTGAGGATTCAGAGGATTGGACAAAGGGCAAACACAATAGCTCACTTTCAAAAGGAGAACAAGGAAGATCTGGGGAATTACAGACTAGGTAGCCTAACTTTGGTACCTGGAAAGATAGAGTACATGTATGAAACAATCAATCTGCAAGCACCTAGAGCATAAAAGGATTATAAGGACTAGCCAGAATGAAATTAACAACAAATCATGCCAAACCAACTTAATTTTCTCCTTTTACAGAGTTACTATGCCATGAGATTCCCGGGCCCTATGGGGAAGTAAGAATAGGACCTCTGTACCCTTCCAAGCATGTCGTAAGAGGTGACTAAGGAGGGTTAGGCATCGGGCTAGCAACCCCATCCTGTAAAAATAAACATAGGCTATAAAAACATCAACAATTTCACCTTGAATAGCAAACCAGCTCAAAAAGGGACAAAGACGCAGGGCAGCCAAACCCAAAAGGATACTGAACTGCCAATTCCCCTTCTTTCAGCAAGAAAAATGTCTAGAATAGGCACCTGGAATGTGTGAACAATGTGGGAGGTAGGTAAGACAGCCCAGGTAGTAACAGAAATGAACAAGCTAAACATCATGGGAATTAGTGAGACAAAATGGGTACAGTCAGGTAAGGTACAAGTTTAATCAGGGGAAATAGTGCTCTACTTGGGCCATGAAGAGGAAAATGTACCATATGCGGAGGGGGTTGCAGTCTTGCTGTCACCAGAGGCTGCAGAGAATTAGAAAAGGTGGCATAAGACAGAAAGGGTTGAAAAGAAATTGTCGATGGCCTAGGCTCTCCTAGGAGCTAAGTGCAAAGAAGAAGACAGAGTTACTGGCCTGGTAAGTAGGGGAGAAGCAGTAGACATGATTAACCCTGATTTTAGTAAGGCTTCCGACTTAGTCCTACATGACAGTCTCATAAGCAAACTTTGGAAATGTGGTCTAGATGAAGTTACTTTAAGGTGCATATATAACCAGCTGAAAGACAATACTCAAAAGACTGTTATCAAGGGATTAGTCCTGAATCCAGTACTATTCAATATTTTTATTAATGACTAAAATGGAAGAGATTAGAATAGGAAGTTAGGATTAGAATTCAAGATGACATATAGAAGAATTGTTCTGAATTCTACATGATGAATTTCAATCAAGTGTAAAATATTTCACTTGGAAAAATGAAATGCAGAACTACAAAATGGGGAATAACTGGCTAGCTGATAGTACTGCTGAAAAGCATCTGGGGACTATAATGGCTCACAAACTGAACGTGAGTTAATGTGATGCAGTTGTAAAAAAGGCTAATGTCTTTCTGGGGTGTATTAACAGGAGCGTTGGAGGTAAATGTCCCACTTTAATTGGCACTGGTGAGACCTCAGCTGGAGCACGTGTGTCCATTTCTGGGTGCCACATTTTAGGAAAGATGTGGGGACACTGGAGAGAGTCCTGAGAAGAACAACAGAAACGAGAAAAGGTTTAGAAAACCTGACCTGTGAGGAAAGATTTAAAAACCGGGCATGTTCAGTCTTGAGAAAAGAACAGTGAGAAAGGAGCTGATGACAGGCGTCAGTGACATTCAAGGCTATTGTAGAGGGCTGTGGTCACCCGTCTGCCATGTCCACTGATAGTAAGACAAGAAGTAACAGGTTTAATCTGTGGCAAGGAAGATGTGTCTTAGATATTAGGTAAAACTGTCTCACTATGCAGATAGTTAAGCTTTGAAACAGGCTTCCAAAGGAGGTTGTGGAATCCCCATAATTGGAGGCTTTTAAAGAACAGGCTGGACAAACACCTGCCAGGGATGGTCAAGGTTTCACCTGTCCTGCCTCATTGCAGCAGGCTTGATTTGATGTATCAAGTCCCTTCCAGCCCTACTTTTCTATGATTCTAAGGGACTGTTCATACAAGCGGCCACTTTAGCAAACTATGGACGATTTTCAGAAGAGCTCAGCATTCAGCAGAACCCCTGTTTTTGCCAACTGAGGGAAGGGGAAGCTCAATGCTTTTGAGAAATCAGATCACGTGCTTCATTCATGTACTAAAGATACAATGAACGCATTTGGAAACCTGGCCCCAGATGCACAGCTAAGCTGAGGTTCTCAATGTTCTGTCACAATGCCGAGGTTAAGTCCTCTAAAGAAAGCACACTAACTCTGACCTGCTTACCTAAGGCAAATATACTTTACTGATTGTAGGGACTTTCCTAGATATGGCATGTTGCAATATGACCTACTAATCGGTACTGCCATTAGCCCAAGCCAAGAAAGCACAGAAGGGAGACTACATTGTAATGATCAGATTCTACTCACATCTAAATCATTACAAAACAGAAGAAAGAATTTTAAAAAGGCAAACAATTCAATAGATTTAAAATCTAACCAACAGAATCTCTCTTTACAAACTGATAACAGAGAGTAGAATTCCGAGAACACAAAATCCAAGGATTGACAGCTACACTTGTCCTAGGTCCAGGACTGGATAAATTTACTCCTGGCATGGTACCAAAACACACAGCTGGAGCAAGGGATAGCTTTAAGGTCTTCAACTGTACAAGGCAAGGCAATACCATGGCAAGGAGTTAATTTGTATAGTTTCAAAGCTGGACTCCCAACTTTCATGGAAATAAAGCATTAATGCCTGATCCCGCCCAAAGGAGTCGAAAGTCCTCAGCACATGCTAGGAAGCAGTGAAACAAAACTGAGACCCTTGCATTTCACTTC